GAACAACACGAACAAGAACAACAAGAACAACAAGAACAACAAGAACAACAAGAACAACACGAACAAGAACAAGAACAACAAGAACAAGAACAACAAGAACACGAACAACAAGAACAAGAACAACAAGAACAACAAGAACAACAACAGCAACAACAACAACGACGACGACGACGACGACGACGACCACAACAACAACAACAACAACAACAACAACAACAACAACAACAACAGCAGCAGCAGCAGCAGCAACAGCAACAGCAACAGCAACAGCAACAACAGCAACAGCAACAGCAACAGCAACAGCAACAACAACAACAAGAACAACAACAACAACAACAAGAAGAACAAGAACAAGAACAAGAACAAGAACAAGAACAACAACACCGCAAGCGCACCACGATGAGGGCAAGAACGTTCCTAGCAATTAATTCTTGAAATTTGGCGCGATGCAGATTCAGTGAAACATGACTGCATCAAGTTCGTCTACAGTTGCCGGCCGTTTTGATTGAATTGTTATGCAAAGTTTGCCTTCCTTTTTCTTTCCACAGTACCCAAGCTGCCCCGATCCTCTCAATTCCATTCGCAGTCGAACGTGTTGTGATCATTCGCTGACGTTGAAGAGCAAGAACGAAACTGGTAGCAACTCTCATGGACGTTGGAACAGTGATGACGCGGCAGACTGTACAAGTTCCTATCAATTGATCTAGCACCATTCGTGCAGTGGGACAAGAACTAAAACTACCAATTGGTATTATTGGCTGCTGCGGAACACTAGGTGGCATGTGATGGTGTTGTGTTGCTTCTTGGCTGATGAAGGGTTTGGTTGATGACAACCATCTCGGAGACGCCCCGGCAAGCTAATAATGGAGCATGCAACGTGTTTGGTCACATATTTTTAAGGATTCACACTATTCATGTGATACCTTCTATTCAAGCGATTCCTCGTGGCGTGATCGTTGCTTCAATTTGTTCTGCGAACTTCAGGCAAACCCAACTGCCTTGGTTCCGTCCACAGTCTCTCCACCCGACGGCGTGCCAAGATCCTTGTCTTTAGTTGTTCTTTTGACATCCGGTCCTTCGAACATTGGTTGGATTCCCTCCTCTTGCCGTTTCCTTTTTCTTTTTGGTTGACCCCGCTATGAACGAATTGATATGGGCGTCCGGATGGGTGGCCGCCTGCGCAATTTGTTCTAGTTTCTGTCTGCCCAGGTTCATTTTGTGCATTTGGGCAACCAACGGAGCCATCATTTTGGACGTGATTGTTGCTGCTGGACACAGGGTGTCATGTGTGTTCTTTGTACTGTTCGTGGTAGGTGCCGTGCATGAACTGAATCCGGTTCTGGGTTTTTTTTCTGCCTAGTTTTTTTTTGGTTGTTGGGCGGTTCCATTGTTTTCCTTTTGTATTTTTTCCTTACTTGCGCTACCATGGTTTTCCGGTGTGGTTATTACAATCTATTTCTCGACTTGCTTGCCACCTCCACGCGACATAATGACGAAATGGCCCGTTTGAATTCTTCGCTAGTCCCTGTCCCCATCAGTCATAGGGCTAAACTTGTGGTATGGGGGGTGGTGTAGGGGTTACAAAGGTTTTTCAACCGCCAGGGGCCGGTACCAGGTTGGGGGTCAGCAATTTTGGGGCAAACATCTTGTTCTGACTGCTCTAGGTCTCACCTTCAAGTTCTGAAAACTAAGACCGTGCAAAAAAAACTGTCATGGGCCAACAATGCTGAATTTTTTTTTCACAAAAACAAGCGGGCATTCGGAACTCGGGACTGAGGGTTCAGGATTCCAAGGAGGAATGGGAAACTCGCCAAAACCTTAGTATCTTAGGTTGATTCACAACCGCATTCGTACCCAACACATGGACCGAACAGTCTCTTTGCCCGCCAAAAATAGCAATGACACATGCGTATACACACTAATGGAACGTTTTTTTGTCTAAGCATCCAACAACCCATCCCCATCATCTATGGTGAAGTCGCCGGCACCTGCTCTTGTATTACCGGCGTGTCTGGAAAGTTCGCGGCGAGGCAGTGGACGTATCGCCAAGCTGCACGCCTCAGATTTTTTCGAGAAAGACCTTGGGCGATCCATATATTATGATCTATAATAATAAAAAGTTGTAATGGTCCTTACAATGATCATAAAAAAACAATCAATGAATTCAATAATAAGTTGTGAATCATTTCCTCTTCCAATGATCTATAATGCTGCATCTGGACCTAAGTGTTGGGCCCAATTTCTTCACGATTTGGAGGCCGTGGCTTGGATGTGGGACCGATACGGACAACAGGTTCGGACGCCTCTCACGCAACAAATTTAATTTTAATGTTGCCACAATGAAACAATCCGACTTGAAAAGGAACACGAAAGGTAGGTGATCAAGAAGGGGAAACAAAGCCTCTCTGTGTAAAAGTTGGCAGTGTGTAAACGCGTGCTGTGTGCACAAGTTTCTGTGTGCAATTTGTGTCTGTGTAAAGACACCTGTGTGTAAAAACGCATGTATGTAAAAACTGTTGTGCGTAAAACCTTCTGTGCGTAAGACTTCTGTGCAGATAATTTTCTGTGTAAAAACCGTCTGTCTGTAAAAACTGTTGTTCATATTTTTTTTGTGCGTCAAGGTTTCTGTGCAAAAAAAATGTTGTGTAAAAAGTGTTTTGGATAAAGTTTTTTTGTGCAAAAAAATCGGTCTGTAAAATTTTCTGTGCGCAGTCTGTGTGTACAAGTTTCTCTGTGTCAAAGCAAATGTTGTATAAAATAAACCTGCGTAAAAACTGTTTTGTGCAAAGATTTCTCAGTGGAAAAAAAATTGAGTGTAAAAACGCCTATGTGCCTTTATTTAACGCACAAAAACGTTTTTGTACAAAACATCTCTGTGTAAATATTTCCTTCTTTGCGTAAAAACCTTTGTGTGTAAGGGCGCCTGTGTACAAAAGTTATTTGTGCACAAACCTCTCTGTGTAAGAATATCTGCGCGTAAAAATTGCTCTGTGTAAAGGTTTCCGTGTGTAACGTCGTCTGTTTGTAGAAAAGTATCGGTGCAAAATGCGTCACCACTGCCAAAACGCAAAAAAACCTGAAACAAAAAATCCAAGATCAAATGTTTGATGTCGTTACCGTTGTTGATTATGGCGATGGTGCGCGCAGGGCCCCACACCTTCGGAACAAATGATTTTCTTCGAGTGATCCGCGCCAAGTGACACTCTTTTGGCATATTTTCTGACATGCTATCTGGCATGCGCATTTTATCTCATATATGTTCTGCAATTCTTTCTGGCATTCTATCTGGTATATTTTCGGAGATTTTTTGTCGTTGACGTCCGGCGGGCAACACTCTGATCATAAATTTCGATGTTTTTGTTGTTGTTGTTGTTGTTGTTGCTGGTGTTGTTGCTGTTGTTTTTCCTGTTGTTGTTGTTGTTGTTGTTGTTGCTGTTCCTGTTCCTGTTCCTGTTCCTGTTGTTGTTGTTGTTGTTGGTGGTGGTGGTGGTGGTGGTGTTGTTGTTGTGGTTGCTGTTGTTGTGGTTGTGGTTGTGGTTGTGGTTGTTGTTGTTGTTGCTGCTGCTGCTGGTGGTGGTGGTGGTGGCGGTGTTGGTGTTGTTGGTGTTGGTGTTGTTCTTGTTCTTGTTCTTGTTCTTGTTGTTCTTCTTGTTGTTGTTGTTGTTGCTGCTGTTGTTGTCGTTGTCGTTGTCGTTGTCGTTGTCGTTGTCGTTGTCGTTGTCGTTGTGGTTGTTGTTGTTGTTGTTGTTGTTGTTGTGGTTGTGGTTGTGGTTGTGGTTGTTGTTGTTGTTGTTGTTGTCGTTGTCGTCGTCGTCGTCGTCAAGGTCGTCTCGTCGTCTCGTCGTCTCGTCGTCTCGTCGTCTCGTTGTCTCGTCGTCTCGTCGTCTCGTAGTCGTCGTTGTTGTTACCGCTGTTACCCGTGCAGCTTTTTTCTCAGTCCTGTAGCGGCCGAAAGTCGTCAAATAGATGGTGTTTTCAAAAAACACCGTAAATACAGCTATTTTTTGCGCCTTGGAAGCCCAAAACCACGGTATTTACGATGTTGTTTGCCTCTGGTAACAAAAGTCCCAATATTTACAATGTTTTTCGCCGGTGCCTAGAAACCCTGGTATTTACGCAGTTTTCACCTTGTTGCAAGAAGTACTTTTTCCATGCCAAAGGCGCAAAAACACTGCAAATTACAGTGTTTTGGGTCGGCTCTTAGGGTTCGTGGAGGGGGCGGAGGGGGGTGAGGTAGCGTTCCCTGCCCCGGATCTAATCTAGACAGCTACGAACTGTTGGGGTCACACAGTCAAAGCGCAGCACCTTTTTCAAGCAGCTATGCTAGCAAGTCTTGAGCCACGGAGTGGCGCAGTGGATCACATGACTTAAAGTGAACATGCCACATAGTATGCAAACTGCATGTGCGTTTTGCAGACGCGTCCCCAAAATTAGGTTACAAACAGGCACACAAATTTTCTTCGAGTCGTAACACGCAGCAAAATTTTAGCTCTTGCATAAGAACCGCTCAGCCTATGCTCTGCTGTGAAACTAAGAAAAAATGCAACTCTACTCTAGGCCGTGATTCCGGCACAAAACTGAGGTGCAGAATATTGCCGTCTATCGGCTAGCGTCCTTGGTTCTCAGAGTCCCACACGGAAGGTGTATCCGTAGAGATAAAGTTCGCTATTTCTTCTCTGCCAGGACGGTTGATCGTAATGGATAGAGTCAGTAGGAAATTGCGGGAGCAGGTCGGTCCACGTGCCGTCAGCATTTCTGTGCCAGCGGTCATAAGGCACTTGATAGCCAGTCATGTACTCGACAGTGGCATTGCGCTGGTTGTACTGATAATATGGCTGCTGATGATAAATAACTCTGACGGTGTTGTCGGTTCTGGTCTTGTCTCTGTGGATAATTCTGCTGATAGTTCTGTTGATCGTATTGTTGCTGCTGCTGGTAACAACGGTTCAGCCAGGCAGCTCCTTTTCCTTGTTGTTGTTGGCGCTGTTGGTGGCCACTGTTCAACCAGTGTGCCCCTTTTCCTTGACCGTGAGATCGGTTCTGCTGAGGATTGTCATCAGTTCTGCTGGGTGTTCTTCGCTCTTGAAGAGTTGCAGAACGTTGGCGTCCACGGCGTTCTTCTCTCCAAGGCGGAGTTGATCCGCGGCAAGTTGATCTTTCTCGTGGACGATCACGGCCGTGCTGTCGGCTCGCAGATCTTTCTCTGTTGGCTCTCTCCATTTCTCAGAAGTTATCCCTTTGCGGTGGAACTGCGTCCCGGCGCTCTTGGCGCATCTCCTGACGCTCTTGGTGTGCTTGCATACAATCTTGGCTTTTCTCCTGCCATGTGTCCCTTCGCCGGTTTTCGGCTGCTTGGGAACAAACGCTGAAGTTCTTAATTGGTCGCATGGAAGCGATGGCCATGAGCAAAGAGTGGAAAGCTTGGTCGCTATCACCAAGGCCTAAATCGTAGACAAGGAGATGCTTGGGTTGCTCCAGGTCACTCAGTAAAATCTCATTATCATACGCCGAACCGACAAAGCCATCCGCACTAGCGGAGTGTTGCTTGCCTCGGTCTTCAGCCATCATGGTCTGCTTGGCATAACACAGTCAAGTGCACAGCATGCAGTCGCAGTCGGCACCGGTGTTGTTCTGAGCTTTGATGTATTCGGATGCCTGAGTGGAAGAGACTACATTATACGTGATACGGTTCAGTGCAGACCGATTGAGATTGAGATTAATTCGTCCGAGAAACCTCTCTAAAAGATCAATTAAAATGCAGCTCCGGAAATCGGAATGCGCATCCTTTTTGAAGTCGCGCTGCGCAAAAAGGTTGCCACCGCCTTGGATGAAATCAACCTGGCGGGAGATGCAAGATGCGATGAATTTGACCCGCCTTTCACATGTTCTTGCGTATGCGTTATTCCAGGCAAAAAAATGATATGTGAAAACAATTGAAAACAGCAACGCGTACCTCGGACAGAACGAGTGTTCTGACGCCATGATTGTCTGCGCCGGATATCGGCTTGAGCAGCTCGCATGTTTCTGCTGATTCCTTACCCTGAATTTCTGAGATTCGCCGATCTTGATCATCTCGGGTACTGGACAAGGGAGCCGGATGCAGCGTGATGGCCAGGTTTGGATCACAATCAGGGAGAATTGTTCTTATTCCTGAGCTTGGGTCAACCATCTCTCCTGAGGTTACCTGTCCAAAAGCGAATCTGAAAATGCAACCGTGAATAATCCAAGATCTGCTTTCAGGCTTGGCTTTCTGTTCTGTATCATTTTGATGCTAACCAAGCAATTCAATAAATGCGTGCCACGTACGATCGAAGACTGCAACGGAAGGAGCCGTGATGTCGGCGCGCACAACCATAACCAGCATTGCGTGATCCGTGATCACGCGCAAGGTGCTAGTGTCTGGCAATTCCGCCAAACGGATCATGTGCCTCGCAGAGTGCAACAATGTGTGTGCCGTTTCGGAAGACTAAATACGGAGGCCCTACAGTTAGGATCTTTTCTGATCCAGGACAGATATTTCACGTGACCTCCAATGCATGGTTTCTGTTGACCTTGCCAAGATTCGGAGTGAAAAAGGACAAATATATCTTTTTGGCTCTCAGCAGCGTTGTCAGGATTTTGGAACTCGCCGATCTTGATGACGTTTTTGCTGAGCAAAACGGGTCTGCACAACACTCCAGGAGGCCGGAACATTCATCTTCAGTCAGGTCATGATGCTTGCAATTGATGAGAATAGGTGGTCTCCAAATTGGAAGTGGTGCGTCTGGATCCTGATACTGACTGTAATGCTCCTCGAGAGTGGGAACGCGTCTTTTCCCGGCAGAGTGTGGGCGAAGTCGGCAAACTTGTATTCTTCAATACCTTGTTTCAAGAAAGATTGCAAGTAACTGTTACCGACCTTAGTTCCCTTGGTGCATTTGTCAATCAGGTCATCAAAGGCTGCCATCCGGTAATCGGATTGTTCAGACATATGTGAACCAATGTTTGCTTTTTGGCCTAAGGTGTCAAAAACAAGGTCCGTGATATCGATCGTCGAGTCCTTGGACGCAATACTGTCTGGTAGAAACTGCCACCAAGCTCAGACGAGTAATTGCAAATGCGGTGATTACAAGCCTCGCCCTGAGATCGGCAGTCCAGGCAGTAAGCATAACCACAGCGGTGACACCTATACATGGCATGGGTACAGCGACAATCCTTCACATTCCGACATTCAAGTCGGCCATCTGGTCTTGGAAACCATCGCATGTTTGCCAATCTTGAACGAGATTGTTCTTAAGAGTGTCGTATACCTTTTTGGCTGCGTCGGCATCACACATCATATCCTTGGCCCATTTGCTAGTTTCAAGCATCATGTCCTTGGCCCGTTTGCTAGTTCCACGCTTGGGAGGTGCTTTCAATTCTTTCACCTCCTGTTTATTTGGACCTTTTCTTTCCTTCGCCGAATAATCGGCTGGTGCGGATGCGGACTATCAGGCGGTTGCCGAATGATCCGGAAATACGGATTTCTTCTGCCGTGTAGCTTTTCTCGGCATGGCTTTTGACTTAATCTTGTTTGGAAAGGCAAAAGAAATCCAGGCGTCACTTTCAGTGTCAACATGAGGAGTACTTTGATATGGACCATCGTCATCTGGTTCTTTTTCCTTCTTTTTATCGGATGCTGCGCCTTTTCAGGCATTTTCTTTTTACCGGACACTTCCCTTTCCAATTTCTTCACGGAATCGTTCAGAGATCTGTTGCCTGATTTCGGCAACCCGGTGGTCTTCTTCAGAAAGAGGCTGTTCCAACGGTCTGTCACTAGGAGTTGGAGCGTCTCGAGATGCCTTGGCCGGTGCGGCTCGTTGAGTCTTAAAACTGGTAATGAACTCATTAACGTGAGACGCATCAGAAAGTCTTTCCATGACATGGTCAATGTACTGCTTACGGGCCCAGATCTTTCTTTGTCTCTCGTTTTTTCATACGTTGCTGCCAATAGTATTGATGATGGGCAATGTGAAGCATGATGTCTCTTTCAGACTGGTAGCCTGTCATCAACTCAAAGTCGGCATCAGCAGGCTTCTGAATCCAGCAGCAATCAATCAGAGACCATACGCGGAGAAATTTGCTGAAAGGAACGGCCTCTTTGGTCAACACGTATTGACTCTCCGTGAAATCGGGGTTCAACGCATGTCGGATAACCTACAATGATACAATCTTGCTCGGGTCGGAGAGAGTCCTGCATAGTGGTGAGCGAACAGTCAAGTGCAAAATGGACACCTTGTCTTCCGCCACGAGTACCTCCCGGAAGCAAGCCGAGGCGGCGTATGGACGGGAGGTTCTTCTCATTAGTTCCATGAACCAGATAATTATTTGGGAACTTGCTTGGAAAAAACTTGGCATGTTGAACCGTAGATCGGTTTGAATGCCCAGACTCTTAAACGGACGAAAACTGACGCAACGTCGAGTCCTTCGAGTAGATCGGCCTGAGCCATACGATTGCCGTCTCTTTCAAAAACTGAGGGCTTAGACCACGACGCAGGGTTTGCTAACTTCCCTGGTTCGTACTCGGCACGGGCCAAAAAGCTTTGATTGGAATTGCAACATATGTGCGCCAGGGGTAGCATGTACATGATGGCCGTAATTCGGCCCTTCATATTCTTACCCGCCTGAGATTCGCCGAGAGTTTTGAATTTCTTGTGGCCTCTGTTGCGGATCTTGCGAGTCGTGCCTCCATGTTTGAAGAGTTCGTTGAGACTAAGTGATCCGTCTTCATGGGGCAAACGACTGTGCCTGAACACATAAGAGAGGTCTTTGGATCCGAGCTCAAAAACAGGGTCATTCACATTGGTTGCATAAAAATTATCTGTTTGAACTCCTCCGTGTTTTCGGAGTACATGGATCAAAGCCTCTACAAATGCGACAGAATTTCCACGGACTAAGTCCAGTGGCTCTAGGAGTCAAGCCCGTGGTATCGGGTCGTGATGATCTGGCATGCACAGGCGGCATGTTTCAATGCAACAATGAAAAGCGCAAAAAGGAGCGGAGCAAAAATACTGACCGGTGCTCCGAATTGAGGCTGTAGCTATGGACAAGGGTCTGCCCTTTTCCCTGTTGGGCCGAGAGGTGCAGGCACAAATTTTCTTGATAAGAAAATTCACTCTTTAAAGTACATCAGTGCAAGCACAAAATCAGCGATGTCTTCACAAAGAAATGAAGTTACACTGTGTGTGGTTCATTGAAATTTTCAATAGCCCATGTTGTGAGGAATGCCTTGTGCTTCAACAACGATGGACATCAACCTGATCAAGTCTTCCAGCGATCGACAAAACAAGCTGGTCAGGTTTCGCGGTATGTTTGGTTAGCGGGTCAGAAAAACAGCATTCGCTCGGGATATGACTAAGGTCATCAAGATGTCCAGCGTTGCTCTCATGTCTAAGCATTTGGACAAGATGGTGCGTTTCTTTCTGTTCAGGCATGTGTGTTGTTTGAGCGGTGGTCACCAAGTTATTTGCGTTTGTACGTATATGTATGGGAACAATTTCGCCGCTCCTCATCCGTGGTATCGGAGTTGAGTGGGCACGGATGCTGTATGGTCAAATGCGTGTCACCGGAATCGGTTGGGATGCTCTCTTCAATGGATCGGATGCTCTCAATGAAGTTCCTGCTCAAATCTTGGAAGCACTGGTACAGCAGGGGCACGAACAAAAACATGTACGACATGAATGACATGAGTCCGTGTCCGAGATATCGGAACAAGCAAATAACAGAAAAACAGAACCGTTCGTTTTGGCCCGTCTGTCCGTCCACAGGAAGATCTTGAAAGTTCTCCGAATGCTTGTCCTCTGCAATGGTCAGTTCCTCAACGGAAGAAAAGTATGACCAGCCGTACCAAGCATTCTGGGAGTTATCTCCATCATATCCGTAGTAGGATACCCATGTACACCTACATGTGTCATAGCCATAGCTCCAGCTTTCTTCGGCCTGGGCAAATTCTGTTTTTCGGGGGCTTGCGATGTGCTAGATGTTGCTTGTTGGGCGACGTTTGCTTGTGGAGGTTGTTGTTGAAATGGTTTTCCTCCCTTGTTCCTTCCGTTGCCTTTTCCTTTTTCCCCTTCCATGAAGGCATTCCTTTGAAAGAATCCTTACCTTTCATTCCTTTCTTGCCCTTCTTGCCTTTTCCTTTTCCACAGAAAGCTGTGTCTTGCCGGTCGTTCTCCCATGCGGCATAGCCTTTTCCCTTTGACCTCGGACGGAAGCCGGGTCTTGACCGTTTGCCTTTCTTTCCATTCCCCTTCGGCTTG